AACCTGGTCAAGATATAGATATTAAAAAATTTAATATTATAGCCAAGACATTGCTCATATCTCTTGAAGAGGGATCTGGATACTATTGGGAGATTCGAAATCTATATCCTAATATAAAAGATGGTCAATATATAGGGTGTGCAACAGCTTGTCTATGCTGCACTCAAAGGTAAAATTGGAATCTAATAAAAATTTTATTAGCAATAAAATCAATATTAAGTTAATTTTTTGGATTACATAAAACCTGAGTGCCGTAAGAGATCCAAAAAATTAATGTATGTAAAATTTTAATTAGTTGGGTTATAAGATTCAATTAAGTTTATATGGGTTAAATTAAAAAATTAATTCAATTAATTAGTTAACTAATATAATTAATTTATTTAAAGGGCTGATCGTGAATATAAAAGTCCAACTAACCAACCTGCAAAACGCATAAGTGAAGCAAGACCTACTATCCAACGTTTTTTATATGAAGGAGTTATAAAAATTAAAATAGATTTGTGTGAGCAAAAAGCAATGATATCTGTAAAACATCTGGCTCATAAATGTCCGATATATAGGAAAACAAAATTACCTGATAATGCTATAATATGGATATAACAAAATGTTAATAGCATTTTACGAAAAATTGAGTTCTATAAGCGGCTTTGCAATGAGAATTTAATTGACCCATTGTTACATACTTATCACTAAGTATATTATTGGGTACATAAATTCTCAGTAAATCAATATGTAACTGATGTTGAAAATCAGTTAAATTTAGCAAAAAACTTTTTAGAACAAAAAGAGTTAATAGATGAAGAGTATAAAGTTATTTTATATTGTGAGAATGAGTTTGTGCATGCACTTGGTTTTACTACACCATTTCTTCAAGTTTCAGAAAATATTACTGAAATTGTTGTTGACTCAACATTTAAAACAAACCAGGAACGATTTGAACTCTTTGCTATAAATTTTAATTGTGACGGGTATGGCATTCCTCTTGCATATCTGTATGTAGATACATATATTGCAACAGAAGAACATCTTTTGGATCCAAGATATATATTGTATGCTAAAAGAATTAAGTTATTTAAATTATTAAAAATTTGAATTTAAAATTTAAAATTTAAACAATAAAATAAATACAAGAGTTGGTGTACTTAATGAATTTTTTAAAAGCTTGTGCAATGAATGCATTTTACCTGCTTTTGTGATGCTTGACAAAGATGCTGGAGAAATTGCAGCTGTTTGTGAAGCTTGGTCCCAAACTACAGTAATACAACTTTGTCTTTGGCATGTAAAGCATGCTATTAAATGCAAATTAAAAG